CCCCCTGCCGCGTGCCACGCGGCCCGGCGCCCCAGAGCGGGAGCAAGAGCGTGACAGGAAAACGCGGCCCCCTTCCCAGGGGCTCGAAGCTGGCCTCAAGGACCGCACCGGGGCGGCTTCAAGACGGCCCCGAGAGGCGCCCTGTCACAGGCTGCTGCCACGGCTGGTCGTGTCACGAAGCTGGACACATGAACCTCGGCGGGTGCTAGCTTAGTATGACTAGGTCAACGACTTCGTCAGAAAACGCTACGACACCTAATTCCACGCAAATCCAGTCCAGGCGCATGCGACTCCTCCCAGAGCTGCAGTGGCCTCTTCGGGGTCGGCGGCAGAGGCAGCAGCCTTCAGGTGAATGAATGCGCATGGGTGTATGACTTTGCAGCTTCTCCATATGCCCGCCTTACCCTTTGTCTCATGAATCATGCGGTCACCGTATTGCTCAGCGTGTTGTTGAGCGTGAACTGGGTGTCTGAAAAGAGGCAATGCCAGTGCGAGCGCGCAGCTTGAAGCGCGGCGCGCGAGGAGTCGGACGAATGCTGACGTAAACACGCTCAAACCACCTGGGCTCGGCGGCGCCTTGCAGCGCGCAGCGGCCACCCTGCGCCAGCAACTGAGGGCAGCCCCGCACTTTACGACCCGAGCCACCAACGGAGTGCCTCACTCGACTGCGCACGCATCCTCACTTCACGCAGGGGCACAATCCACGCCGAAATGCGTGCAGCCGTCGTTCTGGCCCCGAAATCGCAGCGGTGCCGTTCGGGCACGTCCACCGCTTGCAGAACCTAATTACGCAGGCCGCATAATTTGGCAGCAGCCACCTTCGATCCCCCCCACAGGCGCAGCGCATGACCGACGCAAATAAACCAGCAGAATCTCGGCATCCCAACAAATACCGGCACGGCGAAAGCCCTCAGGCCCTACCAGATAGACAGTCACTGCACTGCGGGTGTCTATGCAAGCGCCCATCGCACCTCGCACTCCAGCCGACAGTCAACCCAAGTCCACGTCAAAAGCCTTGTTGCAAAATGAGCTGTTGCTAGGAGGGTGTGAGACATGCGTATCGGGAAGACGTAGGACTCGGGTTCGGGGGTCTCGGGTTGGCCTGTTGGGGCCATCATGAAAATGACGAAACCCACTCTGAAATTTGACGCGAGTTCCTGCTGCAAACATCCCACGGAAACTGGATCATCGAAATCCAGGAAGCGCTCGTCAAAAAGTGTCAGCAAACCCGAGTTCCGGCGTACTCGAGTCTTCCGTTTCTCTGAGTGTATCCCAGCGTCCCTGTGATCCAGCATGGTGGGTAAGATCATGCTGCAGCGATATGCGTCCCAGCCAGACAAGTAGCACTCCAGCCCTCCCCGTGGGTCTTCCCTCAAGAACTGCCTTCCAAACAACTGCGGCATAACAAGGTCGGAATGGTCCACAACATAGCAGTCCATGGTCATACCATTCGGCGGCGAGCGAGGAGTGGAAGTGAGAAGGAGGAGAGAAGCCCCGCCGCCTCCTGCGAAGTTTCCTGTCTTCGGGGAAGACACTGGAATCCCGAAACGGTGCGGTGACAGACCGTGCGGTGACCTCGAAGAACCCCAAGACGTCACCGCACGGTCCGTCACCGCACGGTCTTGGGACCCCGGAGGCCCCTGTCGCCCGAGACGTCCTCGGAGAGGGCCTCGAGTCCCAAACCCGTGCGGTGACCCCGAATCCCCACCGACTCACCACACGGTGTGGTCACCACCCCGTTCGGGGGCCCCCGAAAGGATCTAAAAACTCCTCAGAAGGCCGGGGAACCTTCCCAGCCTTCTGAGAAGGCCCGCCCCGTCTCGCCTCCCCCCGGGCTCGCCACCGAACTGTGCCGGTTGCATCCGGCGTCGGCACGACGACCCCAAATCCGTCGGGCACCGCCTGCTGCAGAACATCTCCCTGGCGTCGGCGGGGGAGCTGGCGCCGGCGGCCCGATGTAGAGGAGGCGGAGGCGCTGGCGCGGGCACGGGTGCCATGCCCAGGGGCAAGGGCTGAGGGCTCCATGCCCTGGAAGGCGATGGGCTGGACAGCAGGAGACCCGCAAGAGCCTGGAGCAGGAGGAGGGAAGGGAGGGCCCCTGGCGTGGAGGTCGAGTGGCCCCAGCGTGGATGCCCGGGCAGTCCGCCGGCCACTGCGTGGCTGCTCCTCGTCGGCCTGCGGATCCACGGTCGCGGAGCACGCACGCGACCCCTCGGTCTCCGAGGACCTCCCGCTCGCTCTGACCCTGGCCATCGCATGGGTGCAGCGGGCCAAGGCCTCGTCCTGCCGATGCTGCAGTGGGTGAACCAGGACGCAGGGAGCGGCCCCTTGACGCGCGCCCAGGCTGTCGCCTTCGCTGCAGGAATAGGTCGGATGAGATAGAGGAGGAGGAGGAGGAGGAGGAGGAGGAGGAGGAGGAGGAGGAGGAGGAGGAAGAGGAGGAGGAAGGAGGAGCAGCAGGAGGAGCAGGAGGAAGAGGAGAAGGAGAAGGGAGGAGGAGGGAGTAGGAGGGAGGAGAAGGAGGAGGAGAAGGGAGCAGGAGGCAGGAGGCAGGAAGAGAGACGGTGGGAGAGCTAGCGGGCGTCATTTCCCCTCCCTCCCTCTGGAATGGACGAGTTCTCAAAGACTGATGGGCCAGAAGCTGCACACATGTACATGGCAGGACTCCTCTCGTTGAAGAGGAACGTGCCGATGGGCTCAGAGACGAGCACGTCAACCTGCAGGCCATGGTCAATGAGAAGGTGGAGGAAGGAGCAACAAGAGGACAAGGAAGGGGAAGATGATGAAGGAGGAGTGGGACAACAATGCACCACGAAGAGGCATCCGTCTCCACACCCTTGGGAGTCCCGCCCCGGACCCCTGAGGAACGGTGGAAATGGATACATTCCTGCCCGCGGGGGTGCGCAGATGTCCACCTCCATCCCTCCTCGATGGGCCCTCGAGGTTCTGGGGCACAATTGCGAGAAAGTGGATATGCGTGGGCCCCAAGGATATACACCACCACCACCACCACCTTCATCCCCCCTCCCCTCCTCCAGCCTCCTCCTCCTCCTCTTTCCCATCCTCTTTCCTGCGAGAGGGAGGGGGTTGAGGGAGGCGGTGGAAGTGCACATGATTGGGCCCCATGTGGATATGTCCGGGAGGTGGAGACGACGAAAACACGGAGAGGACCATATAGCAGGCTGAGAAAAAACGGCATGAACGTAAACGTTTGGCGCTCCGCGCAGATTTCCTGGATCTGCGCTGGACCCCCCTCCCTTGGGGGGCGGCGGCGCCAGAGGCGCCGCCAGCGGGGGCCCAGCGCGGATCCAAGCCAAAAGTGTATGTCTATGCCGTCTTCCTCCTTCGAAAATATAGCAGTCTTCTGAGCAAGAACTTGATTGCCAGCAAACCTCAGTGAGGGAGTCTGTCGACATCTTTCGGCAGGTGCAAATGAGCCCAGCACATCTGACGCCGCCCCGATACGGGTCTCCTGCCTCGGTGGCAACTCATGGAGCCTACCATACCATCTCGCTGGCTCTTGAGCATCGACGCTCATCGACGCCAGTCGACGCTAATCGACGCTACATCGACGCTAATTGGCGCGAATTGACGCTGACGCTAATCGGCGCCAACGCACTCTCAGAACGGAGATACGACGCCAAGCCTCCCATGACTTGCTGGCGAATTCTGCGTGTGCCTCCAGGGGGCCCGTCCTCCTGGGTCCCTCTGGCCTGCTCCGCTTCGGCAGCGCTCGCCCCAGAGGCTCCCCTTCCCTGGAACCCTCCCACCGCGCTCTCCCGTTCCCAGCCGGGCATCTCTCCTGTGCAGGCTCGAAACCATTCTTTGACGGACCCCACTCCGAGCACTCATGAATTCGGCGGCGAGCCCAGGGAAGAAGTGAGAAGGAGAAGGCCCTCTCAGAAGGCGGCGTGGCGTCTCAGAAGCCCTCCGGCTTTCTGAGAGGTGTTCTGCGGCTTCAGGGAAGGCTTAGCAAACTTCTCATAAGGCCCGGGGACTTCCAAGTCTTGTGAGAAGGCCTTCCACTTCTCACTTCCCCCCTGGGCTCGGACTCGGCTCCGCGCGTGTGGCATCACGAAGGCACGGCGGAGGGGGCACCGAGGCGCCTGCATGGAAGAAATCGGCAGAACAGCATTCCCATATGAAAATTACGCATGAGAGGCGTCAAGGGAGGAGGAGGAGGAGGAGGAGGAGGAGGAGGACCTGCATCCCTCGTGGTCTGCGCCATCGTCCTCTCCAGGACTCGACGTGCCAGCGTTCTCGCCCCCGTCTCGCCGTTCCCCCCCCCCCCGGACTGGCCGACCCAGATTGGGCATGCGGTGACGACAGGCTTCCCCGCATCGGCCAGAAATCGGCGGCGAGCACCGGGGGGAAGTGGGAAGGAGGAGGCCCTCTGAGAAGGCGGCGGGGCGTCTCAGAAGGCCTCGCGCCCTCCTGTGCAGTGTCCTGCGTCTTCGGGGACGGCGCGGCAAGCTTCTCGGGAGGCCGGGGGACTCCTGAGTCCTCCGAGCAGGCCTTCCCCTGCTCACTTCCCCCCCTGGGCTCGCCGCCGAAACAAATTACAGCCTCGGGGCGAGACTGCCAAAACCCCATGCTGCGGCGCTCGCTGCGCCCCAGGCTGCTCGCTGCTGCCGGCGCGGCGCTCTGCAGCTGCGCCGCCCTCGCCAGGTCGGAGAGCATCCTCGACGCGGGCGCCCTGCCGCGCCCGCCGCGAGCTGCTGCAGGGAGCAGTGCTCCACGGGGCCGAAGCCCGTCGGCGCCTGGCTCTCCCACGACTTCCGCCCAGCTCGCGGCCGGGCGGGCAGCGGCGGCAGCCCGCACACGCGGTGGCCGGAGGCCTCCGAGGGAACGGGGCCGGAGAATCGCGCTGCATCGCTGGCGCGCTGGCGACGAGCCGGAGACGTCGGCAATGCATCGGCTCCGACGGCGCGGAGAAAATCGGGCCCCACATCGAGCCGAAATCGCCGATGCATCGGCGGTGCGGCGCGATCCTCCGACCACATCTGCTCGGACCCCAGTTTGACTACCTACCAGACCACCCCAACCCAACCCGAAGACCCCAATTTCGGGTTGGGGGGGTACGGGTTCCATATGTGTTTTTTCAGTGTTCCCCGACCCCCCCCAACTGGAAATGGATGGCAAATTGAGGCCTTCGGGTTGGGTTGGGGTGGTTTGGTGGGTGGTGACAGTTGAGAGAGGCCTGGAGTGGCGCCTCTCCGCGTCGGACCACTCGCCCGGCGGACGCTGGCCACACCTCCCGCACCTCGCCCCAGCCGCGCCTCCGGCTGCCACGCCTCTCCGCCCGGGCCGTAGGGCTCTTCTCTTTGAGGGCCCCCGCCTTGTCGGTTTTCGGTCTGACCTCGCTCCGCTCAGAGGCGAGGTCTGCGGGGATAAAGGATCGCCTGGCACACAGGCTCCATTTGACGCTGACCACGAGATGAGCTCACCACAGGTGAGAAGCGGCTGGCCAAACGCTAAGAGAGACTCTCGAAACCTCTCCTTCTGGCTGAGAGTGTGCATGGACAAACACAGCCATGGCGTGGGCGAACGAAGAGGATGCCGTCATAGCTCTTCATTAGAAGGCGAGTAGCGATCATCGGTAGTCGTCAAGGATCCCCTGGGGTTCCCCGATGGGTCCCTGGGGTTCCGCAGGATTAGAGTTTCCCGGGGCTTCTCCAGGGCTCCCTGGAGGTTCCTGAGCGGTCCCTCGGCGATTTCTCGAGATGCTGTTGTCAGCCTCATGTTTGGGATTGCTTTATTGTTTCGCGTACCCTGTTTTGCCTCGTTTCGCTTTGCTGTGCTTTGCGACAAAATTCTAGTGATATGCAATGCCATACCATGCCGCGATACACAAGACTATGTCGTGGCGCGATGCGGCATGCACCACCATGCTATAGCATGTATGACTGGAAACGCTGTGCTATACTAGACTAACCCATACCTGATAACACAAGTGTGCAACATGGTTCACCACGCAATGCCATGATATGATCTACGCACAGCTGTTCTATGACGTGGTATGATGTTACATGCATTGCTCGGACATGCACTGATGCACTGATGAACGATGCTGCCATATGCCGTGCAATGGCATGTCATGACACGGCATAATGCGCAATCTTATTCGACGCAATGCGTTTGACCTATACCATGATACGCTATGGCATGCACGTGTGCACATGCAACCGTATGCTCTGATGTGCCGCTATACGCAATGCTGCTCAATACCATGTCGTATTGTGATATGCTACGATATGCTACGCTATGGCATGCCACGATGTGCTGATATGATATCCCGTTACGCTGGCACTCAAATCTATTGGGAGCAATGGGGAAGGGCAAGGAGATGAAGGTACATTGGGTATGGGTGCGGGTTGTCGAACCCCGAGGGGGGCTCCCATTCGATCGGGGGCACCCATCCGACAACACACACCCAGAGCCCCACACGGAATTCCACCCCGAGACATCCAGGGGTCGCACAGGTATGGGTACTGGACATCAGCTCATGAAGGGGTCGTGAATCGCGCCCTCCCGCCTCTCGTCCCTCTCCTGCCCTCCCAGCCTACTAGCAGCGCCGCAAGCCGCTGGCGCCCTCCCTCTGCCGTACTCCAGAGAGGATGCATCCCGCACGAGGGCAACAGCGGCTAACGCTTCAGCCTGCCACCACCGGGCAAATCCTCGGCTGCTGCCCAAGGCTGTGTGTTGTCCCGCTCTCTGCACGCACCAGTTTTGCCTCTGATGCAGCCAACCACTTTCACTAAATCGGCCTCTGGCAACGAACTGCCCACCAACCTCCGATGTATGGTAAAGTTGTTTGACTTCCGACAGTCTAGTGACAGGTTGTCATCAGCTTAGGTGGCATACGCTTGTCATCCAGATATCCATCGAGTGGAAGCTCATGTGGTACACAAATGGTACGGCTTACTGCAAACCACAACGCATAAACTGTGCACTGCGGCCTGGTAGACAACGATGGCTGCACAATGAACTATGATTGCTCGCCGTCAGACGGACGGAAGAGTCGAGAAGGGAGACACACTAACGAACGGCAGCGTGTCTCTAGAACATGTCCCGACAAAGTCCGCGCACCACAAAGGCTAGATCGGTTCATACAAGTTAGCTCAGGGATACTCCCCCCCCCGCCCCGCGCCGTGATGTGGCTGACCACGTAGCCCGAGGGGACAGGCAGCTCTCTGCACTGTGCTGGCACGGAAGCTTGCTTCGACGCCTCGACAAAAAGAGATCAGGGCCGCCGCTGCGACGGCGGCAGCAGCTCCAGTAGCAGCAGAGGGCTGAATCCATGCGCGTACGCCGCTATCAGGCAGAAGAGAGCAGGAGAAGGAGCAGAAGCCGACGGTCTCTCAAAGAAGCTGCCTCGAGTGGCATCCTATCCCCACTCGTCATCGAGACACTTCATTTGAGGGCTGAAGCACTGCTGGGGCCAGGACGAGTCTGCTCGAGGAGCAGGACCACGTGGGAGCACGGAGGATGGGAGGGGGGGCACCTTGCCCTGAACCTCGTCCTTGATGCTCTCGAGTGGCTTGTTGAGAACCTGGCGGCGCACAGGGTAAGCGCGAGGGCCAGCTCGCACAATTAGCTCATGGAGACTTCCCCACGGTGTACTGCCGAATGCCCGATCACCAGCGTAATCCCACCAGCCAATTTGGCTAAGGTGGTCTACCGAGTTCATTAGTTCCTCTTCCAGAGCCCTCTTCCTTTCGGGGGGGTACCTTCCCCATCCCCCTTCCTGAGGTCTCTTTGGGGGGGGGCGCGGTATGTTGGGGGGGTCCTTGTTTGCCCAAGATCACTCCAAGAGGGCCCCCGATGCTCCAAGATGGCATCCAAAGCGGCTCAAGATAGCCGAAGATGGTTCAAGATAGCTTCCGACATACCTCTGAGAGGCCAAACGAGTGCCACAAGACGGATCCAAGTGCTCTCGGAGCCTCTTCAGGAACCCCCCCACACGAAGCCAAAATCCTCGCCGTTGAGGCCTGAAGATGGCCTCAAGATGGCCCAAGGGAGACCCAAGATGGGCCCAAGAGGCCCCCAGGATGGCCCTAAGAGCGCCCCGGATCACCCCAAAAGCGCACCAAGAGGGCCTCAGGAGGCGATTACGAGGGCCCCGAAGGGGGGACCACACATGACGGCCCCTCTTTTCACCACCCTCCACGATAGCCCCAAGAGGCCCCCCAGGGCTCCCAAGAGGCCCCCAAGAGAGCTCCAAGAGGGCCCCAAGAGGGCCTCAAGAGCGCCCCCAAAAGAGACTCAAGAGGACCCCGAGATTCCCCAAAAGAGCCCCAAGAGGACTCCAAGAGGCGCCTTTGACAGCTCTGTTCTCGTCCTCTTGGTCCTCCTCCTCCGCCTCCTCCTCCTCCACCTCATCCGCCCTATTCCTACAGCAATAGCGACTGCCTGGGCGCTCGTCAAGAGGCCGCTCTCTGCGTGACGGCTTACCCACTGCAGCATCGACAGGACGATGCCTGGACACTCCTCATCATACTCCTCCTCCTCCTCCTCCTCCTCCTCCTCCTCCTCCTCCTCCTCCTCCTCCTCCTCCTCCTCCTCCTCAGGACCCCCCCTCTTCTGGCCGACCGCCTCCCAGATGGCCCCAAGAGGCCCTCCAGGGCTCCCAAGAGGCCCCCAAGAGGGGTCCCAGGAGCGCCCCAAGAGGCCCCAAGAGGGCTCCAAGAGGCCCCCGAGAGGCCCCAAAGAGGCCCCCGAGTGGCCCCCAAGCGGCCCCAGAGAGCCCAAGATGACCTCCAAAATTGCTCAAGATAGTCCAAGCTGGATCAAGATGGTCCCAAGATGCCCCAAGAGGCCCCAAGACCGCTGCAAGACGGCTCAAGATGGCCATGGAGCCTCCGCAGGAGGCTGCCAAGAGGCCAACATCCTTCAAAAACCTGAAGAGAATCAATTAGGTTGGCCTTCTCGCCATTTTGCTTTCGATGGCCTTATGAGGCCTGTTTGACGATGCGCGACTCTTCCTCTCTCCCCCCGTCAGCTCTCATGGGCATCGTTTCTGGATGTGCTGGTGGGGACACGCGAAGCGCCGACAAGAATTTTCACATTTACACATATACACATACACACACATACAAATGTGTAAATCCCATGTGCAAATACACACACGTACATATGTTTAAGTACTGTGTATACACAGATCCCGCAACCACCAGTGCCAGGACGTGCAAAGCGAAGCCCAAAATGTACCACGATAAAATGTTCGGGCAGCACCGTGCACAGTGTTACGAAGCTCGACGTCAGTGCACACTGGCGAGCTGTATGCGAAAAATGGTAGAAGGGCCGCGGTCATCAACTGAAGCACGCAGTGGATTGCGCAAACACGTCAGGGATTGTTTCCATCCGTGCTGGCCATGATGTCCTGCCAACACGTTCCGATGACAGCGGCAATAAAATGCAAATGCTCATATCGTCGGAGACGGCCACCGCGCCGTCTTGGGACCTCCGCACCCGTTCGGGGGGGGGCCGCAGGCCTCGACGGTGGAGCCCGGGAAGGCGCTGGCGTTCGCGTCCGCTAGCGCCCGCACGACCTCTCCAAGGGGGGCGGACCAGATCGGATCAGCGCCGGTGCTCCCCCTCCTGCTGCCTCTTCCTCCTACTCCTCCTCCTCCTCCTTCGCCTCCTCCTCCTCGCCCTCTTCCTCCTCCTCCTCCTCCTCCTCCTCCTCCTCTTCCTCCTCCTCCTCCCTCTTCCTCCTCCCCTCCTCCTCCCTCCTCCTACTCCTCCTCCTCCTTCTCCTCCGCCTCCTCCTCCTCCCTCCTCCTCCTCCTCCTCCCTCCTCCTACTCCTCCTCCCTCCTCTTCTCTTGCGTTTCCTCCTTCTCCTCCTCTCTCCTCCTCCTCCTCCCTCCTCTCCTCCTCTCCTCCTCCCTCGCCTCCCTCTCCCGCCGCCTCCCTCCGCCTCGCTCGCTAGCTCGCTCGCCGCCGCCGCCGCCGCAGCCGCCGCCGCCGCCGCTGCCGCCGCCGCCGCCCCCTCCCCCTCCACCTCCCCCATCCCTCCCGGGGGGGCGGGGGAGGGATCGGCGCGGATCGAATCAGCGCCACTGCTGGGAACCGCAAGCCCCTCAGATCCAGCCGAGGCCGAAAAATCACGATGGCTGGTTTTGGGCGCATCTGCCGCCCCTGGAGACGGCTGCCCGACTCCAGGATTGAAAAAAAAACGGCCCGGGAGGAGAAACCAGCCCAGGGGAAGTGGTCGGGATCCCACGGAGGGGTGCGTGGCACGACAAACAAAAACAACTATATTACTGGAGTTCCCCACATAAGGATGTCACAGTGGGGCCCCACATGGGCACTGTGGTAGGGCCTCTGTGGGCGCGCTCGGGACCTGTCAAGGACCTCGACGGCGCTCTGGCGGGGCCTCCTGGGAGGAGCGGGACAGGCACGAAACTGTGTAAATACTATGGTTATCGATACCCTCCTCGCTCAGGCGGAGCCTCCTTCGAGGGGGGGGAAGGGCACAAAGCCGTATAAATAGTACGGTTATCCGATACCCTCCTCGCTCCGGCGGGGCCTCCCTGGAGGGGTAGGAATGGCACAAGAAATTGTAAATAGTAAGGTTTTCCGATACCCTCCTCCCTCTGGCGGTGCCTCCCTGGAGGGACGGGAGGGGCACAAAACCTTGTAAATATTACAGCTCACCGATACCCTCCTCGCTCATGCGGTGCCTCATTGGAGGGGCGGGAGGGGCACAAAACCTTGTAAATAGCATGGTTATCCGATACCATCCTCGCTCTTGCGGGGCCTTCCTGGAGGGGTGGGAAGGGCACGAAACTTTACAAATAGTGTGGTGTTCCGATACCCTCCTCGCTCTTGCGGGGCCTCCCTGAAGGGGCACACAACCTTGAAAATAGTAGGGTTCTGGGATGCCCTCCTCGCTCAGGAGGGGGCCTCTTTAGAGGGGTACCAAGGGCACGAAACCTTATAGATAGTACGATTCCCCGATACCGTCCTCGCTCAGGCGGGGCCTCCCTGGAGAGGTGGGATGGGCACGAGAGCTTGTAAACAATATGGCTATCCGATACCCTCCTCGCTCTGGCGGGGCCTCCCTGGAGGGGTGCATTGGTAGCGGTAGTTGTGGTAACTGTTGTTGTGGTGATCGTGTGGTAATGTGGCAATGGCAGTAGTATAGCAGCAGCAGCAGCGGCACTCTTCCAGCGGCGTAGGGATGCCCCTCGGAGCCCTGCTGGAGAGCAGTGAAGCGATTCCTGCAGAAACTCTCCTCTGCGGCCTCGCCTCGTGTCGGCATTGGCATACCCCGAAGACACGCGGGGCAGCAAATCGGTGAAGCGGCGGGAGGCGGGCGGCAGCGACACCTGCGGCAGCGGTGGCACAAGACGCCCGCGCGTGAGGGATGCAGCGGTGCGACCAATCGCCAGAGAAGGGCTGCACACGAGGGCCGAACCTTTTCAGCACTCACAGGTGGCGAGCAGATCCATAGCGACGGGCGACGACGGCGGGGGCATCGGAAGTGGCCAGCGACGGACGGGCAAAATCGTGGGATCAAGGCTTTTCGCTGTTTTCTGCGCCTGGAGGCCGTTCAAGGCCCCCAGGAATCGATCTAGGATCCCGGCTGGACGCGCGGAGGGGTCTGGGGGGACAGAGTTGGAGCGCACCTCATCACATGTATCCATTTCCATGCCCTCGCGGTCTGGATTCTCGGGCGCGATCCGATGGACACGTGATCCCATGAGGATACGTTCCGCACGGGGCATCCGCGCAAAGCCGCCCTGTATCAAAGGGGTCGCGGCCAAGGAGTCCAGACCGCGAGGCCATGGATACGCTATCGCCACACGTTCTGGAGCTTCGATGTGCCACGGACCCACGGGGGTAATACATCCTTGCTGTGAGTCGTTCCATAAAACCATGTCGAGGAATCCCTCACCATAGTCCTGTACCTTCCTCCGCACCAATTCCTCCTCACCAGGTCCATCAACCTAATCCTGCTCCTCCTCCTCCTCCTCCTCCTCCTCATCCTCATCATCATCATCATCATCATCATCATCACCATCATCATCATCATCATCATCATCATCATCATCATCATCATCATCATCATCATCATTATCATCAACAGCATCATCATTATCGTCGTCGTCGGCATCATCATCATCATCATCATCATCATCATCATCATCATCATCATTATCATCATCATCATCATCATCATCATCATCATCATCATCATCATCATCATCATCATCATCATCATCAGCACCATCATCATCAGCATCATCATAATCATCAGAATCCTCATCATCATCGTCATCCAACCCATCGTCATCATCATCATCAAGCCCATCGTCATCATCATCATCATCATCAGCAGCAGCATCAGCATCATCATCATCGTCATGAATCAGCATCAGCATCACCATCATCGGCAGAAGCAGTATCCTGATCCTCATCCTCATCATCCTCATCATCCTCATCCAAATCATCATCGTCATCATCAGCATCATCAGCATCATCGTCATCATC